TTTTAAGTATTTAATTATACTTTATATTAGCTGAAAACAATCCCTTTCCTTTATACCTTTATATTTTAATACAAATTACGTTTCAAATAATTGTTGTCATTCATTAATCTCTAGTTAAATATTTAGATTTAAATATTTAATTGTACTATATATTAGCTGAAAGCAATTGCTTTTCTGCAATTACCATTATATTTCAGTGCAAATGACATTTCAGATTATTTTTGTTAATATTCATATGTGCTTAAATGTATGTAAATAGTTAATAATTGTTTGGCTTTCGGGCTGGGCGCAGGTCAGAGCTGGTTGTTGTTTGCTTGAAGTGTATGTGTATGTGGCAAAGGTATTAGGACTAGTTTACATTCGGCTTACAGCATTCGCAGTWGAATTGTTTATTTATGTTTATGTTTGCTTTTATTTTTTCAGCTTTCAGTTTTCAGTTTTCCGCTTTTCGTTTTCTGTTTTCTGTTTGCTGCAATTGCAACTTTATTTACACTGAAATGCAAAAATTTGCACAACTTATTACAGTTGTTATTGTTGTTTCTAAACTTTTGCGTTTTGTTGTTTGGATTTCAGTGCACTTCAGGCTTACCAGCCACGCCTCCGCCCCTCGCTAAGCCGGCCAGCAGCGCCTCACGCTAGGCAACATTTTTTGCTGTTTCCCACTCAGTAGTTTGTTTGTTTGTCTGCTTGGTCGTCGGTTGCATATTTCTATATGTAAATGTTTGCTGAGCTGCCAGCTTAGAGGCAACGTCCACTCGTAGCCCATTTGGCGCACGTAAATGCCAAGCAATTAGTGAGCCACTGCTGCTGCGAGTCTCGTACTGTCGGCAGGGCCGCCCGTGAGACGGTTACTTCAGCCCGGTCTGCTCTAATTAGTTGGGGCTATGCGCACGATGCTGAGGCACCCCGACCCACTCCGACCACCCACCAACCGCAAGGCGCTGCCAACAGTTGGCATTAAGTGTGAAAATTGAATTTCCAAATCACTCGAACGACAACAGCGTCGCCAACGGAAATGTGCAAATGTTGTGGGCGGAAGGCGCAATCCTACACCTACACACACACACACACACACAAACACAGAGAGGCAAGCACACACACCCACACAGCGGACTCGAGAGTCAGATAAACGAGTATCTATCTACTACAAACCACCTGCGCTCAGAATTTGCATTGCAGCTGCACAGTGGGGCAAGAGTTGTAGAACTAAAACTTAAATTTTATAACGAGTTATTTTATGAATACAGTAAAACTTAGCTTTAGAGTAAAATAGAAAAAGGAGTACATAGAAAAAGGAATATTATAAACTAAATTATATTCCAGATATGCAGTAAATTTACCTTTTTATATATTCCTATGTATGTATACCTTAAACCCATATCAAATGGTAATTTAATATGTATAATTGGTTGGTGGCATGGTGGCATGTGAGGAAAATTCTCCAACAGTATATTCAAATTATGATCTCATAAGACAATCCATAACTTGTCCATACTTAATTTAAAATCGATTAACACATTATCGATCTTTATTATGTTCCGTATGTATAAGTATAAAGTTATTCAATAACCTCAATTAGTGTATTTTCTATAAATAAATTAAGAGTAAAATATATTTTAGATAGCTCAATTCACTGTTCCAAATTTATACATATATATTTTATGCGCTATTCATGGAAGCAGGAATGAAACAGAAAAGTTATTCAACAACTTCCACAACAATACCTCGGCAGGGCTTATTGTAGCACTCTCGACTGTAGCACTCTCATTGTTATTGTTATTATTGGATTTAACTCTGATCCGTAAGCAAATGCCTTTCGCTCCCTCAGAGCGATGCCATAATTATTCGAGCAATTATTCGCTTAAGAAAGTCGCAGACTGAAATCGCTTAAGGATAGCAAACTGAGGCAGTCCTTAGGGCAGTTTCACTCCCTTTTATAGAAATTAACTTGGATTGTGCAACTCAAGTGCAACGCCTGGCAGTTGCTTTTGTGTCACTGTGCGTGTCTTTGGTCCGGGGCATGTGTGCAAAATCGAATAAAAATGGAGCGGAAACTCTAATGAATTTATGCCGCAACGTTTGTGTTTGACGCTCTGACGTTGGCAGGGACTGGCTGATTGAATGCTGCCTGGGATGCTGTGGCTGCTGTCACCACACGCACACACACACACACACACACACACATAGAGACTGCCTGATGCACACGCAGAGGGCGATGGCTTGAATTCCTTTGGCTTGCATATATGCATATTCATGTGTTCCGTACATTGATGTCTGTATTTGCAGTTAAATTTCTGCGCGAGGTGACGCCCTATTTTCGCAAGGCGAGCATTATATCTGAGGTGGGCTGGGAGCTGCAGCGCGCGTTCCTTTGCCCACTGGGTCCGGGCGCGCCCACATCTCCGCCAGCGCCGACGCCCAAGACAACGCCGCGTGCCGACACGCGCTACATCCCGTTGCAGCTGACGCATCTGGCGCGCAATCTCAAGTACATCGATCCGGGTGAGTGGTCCTTGGTCTGGTCTATGGGCTAAGCTAATCCAGAAATCGAACTGCTCTTGGCACTTGCAGAGAACCGCTGCCTGGAACTCCATTCGCCGGATGGCGTGCACTCGTGCATCCTGCGTGCGGCCGACTCCGCGGAAGCTTTGGTCTGGTTCAATGCGCTCCACTCGGCCATGAGCAGCAGCACGCAGCGCTCCCTGCTCGAGGCGAATCGTGCGCTCTCGGCGCTCATCGGGGAGCTCAAGCACATTGGCTGGCTTAGCAAGCGCCTAAGTGGAGGCGGTGGCAGCTCTGGCAGCGCCGGCGGCGGCGGAGGCAGCGGCGCAGCCAGCGGCGGCAGTGGCACATCCACCAGCGGAGGCGTCGCCGGCGAGGTGGTAAGTGTAAGTTTCCCCCCAACTCTGGGCGCTTCAGCCCAAAAGCCTTTCATCTAATAGAGTCATTTTTAGACTCGGGCTATAAATAAGTAATATGATAAATTGTAGCTGACATTCCATCATACAATATTTATAATTCCTCAGCCGAGCGGACGGTCCAGCTCGGAGAGCTCTGACGAGAGCGACAAATGGCTGCCCATTTTCGTGGCAGTCACCGAGCGGGAGTTTCGGGTCTACGAGAGCGCGCCCTGGTCCGTGGAAGCCTGGAGTCGTCCCGTGGAGAGCTATGCGCTGGCCACAACCCGCCTGGCCGGCGCTGGCAACAACTCGTCCCTAAATGTGAGTAGAGAGAGATAGAGATGGAGTGAGAGAGAGAGAGAAAGTTGATGATCTAATGAATTATATTTTTCAACCTAACCTCCAACAACAGGGCCAGCAGACAACGGTGTTTTGCGTGCGGTGCGGCACGGCGCGGGGCGTCCTGGTCTATTGGCTGCGCTCGGAGACGCACCGCGACATGGCTGCGTGGGCGCGTGCTCTGGTCCAGGGCTCCCATCAGGCGGTCAATTTGCAGCGGGAGTTCTCCTTTCGCTGCCTCTACCAGGGCAGGCAGTGTCAATTGGTTGTGCACATAAATCGCGGCTTCTTCTTATACGACTGCGGCGGCTTCGCCTCGTCCACGCCCACAGCGGCGTCGGCGACCACCAAGACGCAGCTCTGGCAGTTCGCCTTCGATAAGTTGAAAGGATCCGCGGACGATGGCGCCCGCATGTTGTATTTGGACTTTGGCGAGGATGGCGAAATCGTGAGTCTCTGCAAATTATTGTGAACTAGGCAATTGAACCCATATTCCCTTATTGCAGGAACTGGACATGGAATGCTGCCCCAAGCCCGTTGTATTCGTCGTGCACAATTGCCTGTCGGCGAAGGTGCACAATATTGCCTAGGAGGCCTTGGCCAGTTGGAGCAGCTGCTCCCAGCAAGCATCAGAGGGAATAGTTTGGAAATATCTAAAACCCAAAATAAAATAAATCAATTACATTTTTTTAATTTTATATAAATATTATGCTCTGTAGACGAAGAGAGTGAATTTAACAGTTTTCATTGAAGTATTAAGAGATTTGTTCGCTTGAGAGGATTACCTGGCCAGCAGCAGATGGCGAGTGCGAGTGAGCATTATGTGCTTCCCGATGGCTATTGGGCTATTTGTAAGGTTAGCAGAAACGAAACAGAAACAGAAACTGAACACAAAGCAAAAAGTAGAATCTTTCGAGGGGAGAACTAAATCGAATACCGACAAGCACAAACCAAAACATTTTTACATTGTAAGTAGACGTAAATTCATTTTATACGGACGTGTGTCATATACACACTGATAATATATACCATCTAAATACAAAGCAAAGAAATTAAAATTACAATTAAATCCAATTTGAAAACGAATATCTAAATGCAAATCTGATATATTGATATATTGATATATTCAATACACACACACACACAAGTTGAACAATAATTATCGTAATTGTACTTAACTAATTGTATCTTGTATCTGTATCTAAACGAAGCACACATATCTCGATGTATTAGGCCCTAAAGCATAGCGGAGAATTCCTTCATCTCATACTACATACGAAAATACCTACTTATCAACTCATCATATACGAGTACTTTCAGGCATTTCCTACCCCTAGCCCACACTACGTGTACATCATCTACATGATCTAAATGCAATTATTATGCATTCGACCCACATATAAGCATCACATATTCGTTTTATGAAATTTGAAATTTCGTTAAAAATCAAATAAAGAGCAGAACAAGAGTCCCAATAACAACAACAACAACAACAACAACAACAACCAAGAAAATCAACATAGAATCATAAACTTAAGACGTACAATATGTATTTTTAACATAAGTAGTGTTGAATCTTCGATAATAAACTTATATATAAATATATATATATATATACATAATACAAATAACAGTATATCTTATTGGGGATTTCTCTTTTTAGAGGTTTACAGCTATGAAAGGGAAGTATAACTTCATTTATCAATTTATTTGAGAATTCCTGATATATTGACATATGGATATATTGTTATATTGATATATTAATATATTGATATATTTATATTTTGATATATTAATATATTGATAAATTGATATAATAAATGTCCAAAAAATATTACGCTCTCCAAAGCAGCCTATTTTTAGTTGAATAAATAAGCAGAGCTGTCGCACTTGGAATGGGAACAATTCACAGCTCTCTGTCGGAAGAATATTAGATCAACAGGAAAACCCGTTGGTTTCATTGATTTATGCGCTGGCGGGGTTAATGGTCCATATGACTTGAACAGCGATGTATGACAGCGGTCATCATTGTAATGATTGCTAAAATTGTTGTTCCAGATGGCGTCTTGCACGTGCCAGCCATGGCAGCCACATGGCCAAAATACAAATTGACACAATTTTCATTTTTTCATTTCATTTTTTTATTAATATGAAATATGAAAATACCAAAGTATTACTTTTTATAAATTTCTTAAAATATATTTTTGTTTACACATACATATATATATTTATTTATTCACTTTATTTCCTTTCAACATTTATGTCTATTTCAGCTAGTAAATCTTGAAGTTTTTTCCATATCATTTTCTTCTGATTTAATGATATGAAAATACCAAAGTATTACTTTTTATAAATTTCTTAAAATATATTTTTGTTTACACATACATATATATATTTATTTATTCACTTTATTTCCTTTCAACATTTATGTCTATTTCAGCTAGTAAATCTTGAAGCTTCTCAAGTTTTTCTTTCATTTGGCTAAAGTCTTAACTGGTGCAGTCGCTGTCTTTGTTTGTTTTTTGTATATCAACTATTTAAGCAGTTAATCTGTCGATCGAAAATGAATCAGATGAGACCTGTTTGTAAAGTCCATAACTCAATCCAGTTGACATATCATATTTTTTCTAGCCCTGTCCTACATAAGTTTGTTGATTGGCAACTACAGTAAGCCATAAGCCGCAAAAAGTCAGCAAGTCAGCTACATTAAGGGCATTCCTGCTTCATCATCAGCATCCTGAGCAACCTGGCTTACCTTAGCCATGCAAACTTTATTTAAACTTTGTTCATTTGGGAATTACTTAAAGTTCTGCAGGCAAAGGCAATAATTATCTTAATAACAATTTCTCTCGGTTACAACTTCAGCGCACCTTGTTGCTTGCAAACTTTTCGATGCTACAGATTTTTAACTTCCTCTTAACTTTTTATTGATTAAGAAACTGGAATATACAATTTTATTTGCAGCGTGTTTCAGCGATTGAGGTAATCGATTTTTGATGACTGCGAATGGCATTTAAAGAGATTTTTATAAATTTTAATTTAAAGGAAGCTGTTGATTGATGATAGGAAGTGGACTCGGATATGGCTGTATAATATAATTTATATATTCAAAGTGAAGAGGCTTTTTAAATTTCAATTATCTACTTGATTGATAATTTTAAGTTAGATTCGAATATGCCTCAACTTTTCGATTAGCTATTCTAGTCATTAGCCCCGCCTGCTTAAGAGAGTCCATAAGTCATTCCTAGATTTTCTACTTTATCTCATCATCATTTCATGAGGAATTAAAATTTCATCCGAAGCGTGCTTCAGCTAATTTTGTTGCCTGTAAACGGCACTTGAAGAGATTTTATTTAATTTTCATTTAAAGGGAGCTGCTGATTGATGATAGCAGCTGGACTGGCAGTAAGTAATTCAATAGCAAACATATTCTTACATTTATTATTAACTGCTTAAAATTGCTTTAAGGTCCGCGTGCATAACAGAAAATGAACCTCAACTCTTGTTTTCTTCTTTTTATGCTGTGATTTTAGTTTTTTATGTTAAAATTATTTTAATGTTAATTTAGATAAATGAAAGACAAAAAAATGTTGTACATAATCTCTAAAATGCTTCAAATTACTTTTCTAGTCTAGTCTTACTTAACAACCTGCCAGAAAATAAATAAATAATAGTTATTACTTGTTTCTAATCTAAAGATTTATATGGAATTATTCCAAATTCCAAGCTTCGTAAATAATATAATATTTACTTTTCTAGTGACTTAATGACTGCATAAAAGTAAAATAAAAATTCTTTTTTTCAGCTCTGACTACAAGTTTTATATATACTCATCTACATAGCAAACATTTAAAAAATTCCAGTTCATTCATCATTCTTGTTTCATTTTCCATTACGTATTATTATTATAGTCTGAAATAGGAAATCACGGTAAAATGTGTTTATTTTAATTATTTTTTTTTGGGTGTATTTCCTCTTTTTATTAATTTTTCTCAATCTTTTTATTCTTACTAACATTTATTATTTAAATCGCCTTTATTTCTCTGATTTCAGTGAAGCGCTCTACTGATTTTATTATCAGTAAAATTAAACAATATTAGACAATAAATAATTTAATAATTTCTATTTTATTAAATAACGTTATACTTAAATTCATTTTTGTTTTACTAAATGGCGCAGCACATTTTACCTTCCACATTAAAGGGGCTTAGGTGCTGCTGGCTTCTCTGCCGTTATTGAGCTGGTGCTGATGGCCTGTTAGACGTTTCTAAGTTACATACCAATGGATATACATATGTACGCAGTGTATGGGAGCGACTACGAGTATGAGAACATGCGGCTATTTATTTCAATTTTCCCAATTCGCATTTAAGACGAAAACAAAGTCACCAAGTGTACGTGCCCGGCATGCCCAACAACTGGCACTGGTCAGCCGCAAACTTTGCTCATCACCAACACAAGCTCAAATCGACTGCTGGCAAACATGCAGCAGCAGCAGTAGAAGCAGCAGCAGCAGCAGCAGAAACAACAACGAGCACAAGTACATGTTGTTAAAGCCGGGCTAGGGGCAGGGGAGTGGGGTTGGTGGGGGAATATGTAAAGCGATTTTGGGGCTGACTCTGTGACCATCATTGCGGTCAACGGGCAGGTTTAAGGTGTAGCGAACGATGTCCGCCTTTTGGCCTCCACGTTGACACGATGACCACGACTGAGACACTGGCCAGAGCAGCCACCGCACACACACACACGCACAGAGCCGCACACATACACACACAGGGAATTACATTTCCGGCTTGGACAGCATGCGGAAGCAGCGCGTCGATTTAAATGCTTCAGGGCCGGAATTATGACAGGTGCCTGAGATTGGGCATGGATAAACGGGCGTTGGCCGCTAGAATTAGTTGAGCAGCTATAAATACGCTCGGCTGGAAAATGTCAGCGCTTAGTACTACAGCTAAAGAGTGTGAATCAAACGCGGAGAGCAGCGAAAAACAAAAAATATGCCGAAAGGATACGGATACGGATACGGTTACGGCATTGGCCTKGCGCTGTTGCTGCTGCTGTGCCTGGGTGCCAGCGTACGGACGGCTGTCATACGGCCGGAGGCGCAGCAGGAGGCAACCACAATAAGCAGCGGGCTAGCCGACGCCGCGGAGGCCAGCACCACGGTGGAGCCAGAAGTGACGACCGCATCGGTGGCACAAAGTCGCGACAAGGATGCAACCGTGCAAATTGGTTGGGCTAGTGTTGATCCTGCGCCCGGCACCGTCGCCGGTGACCTGAGTGTGGGTCAAATGAAGTCGGCTAAGCTGCTGCTGCTGAGCACGCCGGCCAGGCGGCCAGCGGAAGTGGAGCAGCAGTTCGAGGAGCCGGACGAGAGCGATGCCTCAGCCACCGCTGGCAGTGGGGACAGCAGTCTGCCAACTACGACGGAGGTCAGCACCACAACCGAGTACAGTGAAGCACCAACAACAACAGCAACTGCAGCAACAACAACAACAACAACAACAGTAACGGAGCAAGCCAGCGAGCAGAAGACAACAAAACTATTCGCCATCAATGCGACAATATCCTCCGAGGACTCGCTCCAGCCCAACGTAGCCGTGGCCGTGGCCACAGACAATACCACAATTGCGATTGCCGAACAGCCGCAGGCCCCCTCGGCCAACAACGTGGCCATTGAGCTGGCCCTCGTCGAGCCGGAGGCCGACTACGTGCTGCTGGATGGCAGCTTAACCGACCTGTCGCACCTCACCAGCTCATCCACTCATGACGAACTGCAGCTGGGCAGCTTCACGCACATCGACAGCGATGTCCACTTGCAGCCGGTGGTGCATTCGGTGGAAATCGTGCCCACCAGCCTCGATGATCCACTGATTGTCAATTACGTGCACAATTTGCGTTGACTATCGATGGCCGGGCAGGCACTTCCCCCCGCACTGCGCTCGAGTTAAAGCTTTGTTTTTATGTTGAATACGATAATCGAAAGTGTTACGATTTCTAATTTAGTTTTAAGAAGGACATTTAATAAAAATGATGAATAACTGATATGGGATGAGCTCCAGCATTTGCATTAGTGCATTGCATATAAGGGGAGTAATATAAAGCAGCGGAAAAAGCGAAGCTGTAAGAGCGGAGGAGACTAAAGATATAAAATAGTTCTATTTTTGGAAATTAGGGCACTATCAGAACAGGAAATCTAGTTTTCTAAGATTGGAGTACAAAGACATTTCTCATATTGCCTTGTTTCTGATTAATTGGAACTACATTCATCATTCAAACGCTCTGACTCAGTTCAATATGTGTTATTGATACTCCAAAAATATTTCCTTGAGTGCTGACACCGCATCGACTCTTCTGGCTCTTTTTCAATGTTGATTGTAACGGCAAGTATATTTTCATCATATCATATATCGCTTTCGTATCTCTGTCCACACGTTTCCTTAAGATGTAAAATATCGCTTTTACGCTTCATCTTCTCAAATTAATCTCTCACAAAAGCCTTCATGATGCAATTCGAGTTGAAAACAAATAATAAGCTTGAATTAATTATATTGACACCTTTAGTCTTATTGCATGCAGATGGATTATCAATTAACAATTATCAATTGATTAAAGAGCTGCTGCAATCAAATTATCGAATATAAGACTCATCTTGTTTGATCGCTCTTTGTGTAAATATTTTAAAATGAATTTCCCACTTCTATAAAATATTGCTCTTCTACTCGATTCTCATACATATATTTCAGAATATCTTTATTTTTTTCGTGATAATAATCAATAATCAATAAGATCTAACGACCTATACTAATAGTTTTCATATCTCTCATCCTGTCTCTCTCTCTCTCTCTCTCTCTCTCTCTCTCTCTCTCTCTGTCTCTATGCCTCTCTCCCTCTCTAAGTCTTATTACTGATTATGTTGCTCTATCCTTCTTTCTTATCTCTTTTTCATCGTTCCACTTCATCTCTAGCCTTCCTATTGATTATTTCACTTACTATTCCTATTGCTTTCACGCTCTCTCACTGTTTATGTGACTCTTCTTATGGTATTCCTTTCCCTACTTCCTACTCTGACTCATTCCCTTTCATTTGCCTAAACGTTTATAGATAAATTTGATTATGTACATATATTTAATTATTTGACCATTTGGGAAAGTATATATTCTTAGACTATACACAATATACACAATCACGCACACATACATATTTACATATATAATTAACAATTTGTATACGCAAACAAACGGATGTGAGCACACCACTACGGCTAATGATATACATTAGGAATTTCTATATAGACTTTATGAGGTCATAGATATTTCCTCTTTGCGTTACACATTTCGTGACCAAACTTTGCAAACCTCCAGGCTGATGAATTTATAAACATTTATGAACATTAAAATACAGATAAATTCGAATATATTTCACCTTTATTAAAACATAAAACACAACATGGAATTCTTATGACTAAACTGTTCAACAATGTAATAATACGAGAGATGCAGTCCAGGCCTGCTCACCAGCGCTGCTCCACGTGCGTGGTGTAGACAAATCCTCGCCTGGGCGCCTGGATCAGCGGCTGAGAGCGCAGTGGGATGGCCACAGGCACACCACTGGATGCTGGTGCTCTGGCCACCAGCACAGCTGGACCCAGGCTGGCGGTGAAGAGCACATTTTCGGCATCGGGCTCATCCTTGGAGCCAGGCTCTGGCGTGGGTTTCAGCGGATTTGTGCTGACGCCACACACTGGATGATTGGCATTGCTGTCGTCAGCTGCAGCTGTCTCAGTCACATTGCCAGCATCTAATTGCTGCTGTTGCTGCTGCTGCTGCTGCTTCAGCTCGGTGGGCAGCAGGAAAGCGCGACTTGGTCGATAGCCGGCGGCTGGATAGGGGGCGCCGGCAAAGGCGCGGCCTGAGCGGGCTTCAATGGGTGCAGCCGTGGTGGTGGCATCTAACGAGTCCACTGCTGTTGTTGTACTCAAATCGAGAGCTTCCGTGGTGCTGGCTGTCGCGTCATCCAGAGGCAATTCCGTTGTAGTTGTGCCCAAGTCAGAGCCCGCAGTGGGCTGCAACGCGGCATCGGCTTCGCCCGGCAGCCAAAAGGCGCGTCCCTCTGGCCTAAAGCCAGCGGCTGGATATGGTGTGGGCGTGGGCGTGGGCGTGGGCTTCAGCTCTCTCACCACCGCCTGCTGTACGTCATCCTCCTGAACGCTGACCGCATACCGATTGATGCGTATCTGACGCGTCTCGGCGATTCCCGAAGCCCACAGGCAGAGAACCAGAGCAAGCATCCACTGCATATTGTGCTGTAGGTCTATCGTAAGTGAGGCGATATATTCCAACTGATTTCAGCTGCGGATGCGTCTGGTGTTTTTATACAATGTTCTCGGGCTCTCTAAGGTCTCAGGTCTCGGGTCTGTTCAACTGGCAATGAAAGCGAGAGTCGTCTCATCTCGTTCCGTTCCATGTCGAGTCGTACATCGGGACATGTGCATACGTGGAACATCGTTAGGCGCACGGCTATCACATTTATTGATTTATTTTATTACTTATATTTTATACACACCGAACGAAATATATATAGATATATGCTTATATGTATATTTGCTTGAATATTTTGCATTTGTTTTGCTTCTGGTGTTTGACTGCTTATCCACGTCCACCACGTCCGAATCGTCGCCATGTTCTATGGAAATAAAATGCGTTTCCTACGTGATCGGCAACTCTAAGGCGCTGCCCAACCGGCCCAACCATTGACGAGCTGCCCACATCAATTGAAAGCGAAAACTTGTTGCCAATTGCATTATGTCTGGGCTTGAGTGTTAGAATATTTATTAAACACTTATAATCGATATTATGCGATCAACGACTGCCACTGAGGTGAACCCCAAGGGCGGCTATGAGCAATTAACTAACTATTGCAGCACGTCACGTCCTCTGATAACGATCGAACTAACCTATCGGGCCATAGATAGACACTTGGGTGTTCCATGCGTAACTACGCACACTCTAGAGTCTATTTCCCTTTTGGAAGTCAAGGATATACTGGGTATATCATAGTTTAGGAAATTAAACTGCATGACTAAATTCCTCCTCAAAATATAGTTCGATCCAACATACCTAAAGGCCTATACATAACCACTTTAGTATTCCATGAATAACTGGCGGTGTCTTGTGTCTGGATACATCAATTATTAGAAAATCAAATATATACTGGATATATCAATATTTAGGGAATAAAACTGTATGATTATATTCTTCTTAAAAATACGGGTTGATTGAACTAACGTATCGGACCATAGATCTATACTAGAGCGTCCCATGCGCAACTGACGATATCTACATACATATACTCTGGAGACCATATACCGAAGACTCTAATATTAATTGTATATATCACATATATATATTAATTAATACATCACCTGGAGCGACCTACACTATTATTATTCTCTATGCCCTATTATGTTTAAGTTCACTTTTAAAGTTAGATACTCTGATCAGTTTTCATGTTGTTGATTTCCGATTTCAATTTGGTTTCAGAGCTGTAAATTGAAAATCCTTTATTTAAAATAGATCAAGTAAATTACTTAGGCTGATTTTTTTTAATATGCCAGGCCTACCATATCATGCTTATTGCTTTAACTTGAAAGTTTATCTAAGTAATATAAAACACACAAATTTCATTTTTGTTTCCACTTTGCAGACTTGATGCTATATATTAAAATATCCTCGAGCTTAAAAAAATGATATGAGTTATTGTATTGTATTGTATGCATTTGCTTAAAATCCTACGCCTTTATAAAAAAAAAAAAAAGATGCTAAGATTGGATCTTCATTCTAATATTAAAACTTGATAATTATTATTATGATATTTTATTGTGACATAATGCATTTTTTATAGAAATCTTTTTTGATCTATGAAATGTTAACACTATGAATGTTGTTTGTTACTTTAATAAATCAATTGAAGTTCAGTGTTAATAACTTTCATTAAGATTTATACTTTATAAAATGATTATTAAAACTTCACTTAGTTAGTTTTTAAGATTTGACAAATGAAAAAAAACTAAAATAGTTATTAGATAATTTCATTTAAACAATATGTATATACAGTAGTTTAGCATATTATAGTGTTTCAAAATGTAGAAAGTATTGACTTCTTTAGGTTAAGTACACCTTTCAAAAGTTTCATCGCTTACTTTTATATAAGTGGCACACTTAAGAATTCCTGAAGGCTGATTTATTTCGAAGTAAACTAGAACACAACGCGCTTTGGTAGCGCCACAGCTGTAGACTTTCCGAGTGCTATTCCATTGAATAGTGTTCGCTCCGGTTTTGGATTGATTAATGGCGGAACTATAAATCGAACTTCCAGCTCTTCTGCTAGTTCTTTCTTGTCACGTCGCACGCACATAAACCCGCCGAGCAGCCGCTCACAATGGAGCCGCCGACGTCAGAGAGTGTGCCAACGCACCGCACACTAAACAGATTCGAGTGGGGCTGGAACATGGTTAGCCGATTCCACTGTTTCCAGATCTGTCCTAGCTATAAAAACGCCGCGCTTGGCTGCCAACTGCAGCAGTCGTCGGCTTCAGCTTCCTAGAACCACACACACACACCCATCCAGCAACTCATCGATATGGCCAAGTTCCAAGTCTTGATCGTGATCGCCGCCTGCCTGCTGGCCGTCAGCGAGTGCCAGGTGCAGCGCCAGCGCCAGGCGCAGCGCCTCAGCCGTGGACGCTCCCGCTACTTTGCACGCCAGGAGCTGGCGCCAGCGGATGCGGATGCTGCCGTCACGCCATATCCTTCAGCCGACGAACTGAAGCCAGAGGTGCCCTTCGATGAGGCAGCCGCCCCAGCCGCCGCCGAGCCCACGCCCGATGCCGTCTACGGCCCTCCCGACGCAGCTCCCAACGCCGTGCCCGATGAGGTCTACGGCCCACCCGATGTCACTGGCAATGATCTGCCAGCCGCTGACGCCGCCGCCGATGTGCCCACCGAGCAGGCCCGCCTCGTCGCTGCCAGACGCGCCGCCAAGCTCCGACGCGCCCAGCCTGTGGCCTATCGTCGCGCCGCCGCCGCCGCCGCCGCTGCCCGCCCGGCCAAGCTGAGCGCTGCCCGCTCTGTGGTGCGACGCGCCTAGATGTGCCCAGCTCATCTGCTGGCGAGCTGCCTGGACCGGGCAGTCGCATTTAGCCAGATGCCAGCTGCTGCATGACCCAAAAACCCATGACGATTCAACGAAGCTCCCTGATGACGGCATATCAACAACTCACACATACACTGACTCACACACACACACATACACCATAAACTATTCAGCATTTGAAATTTACCTTTGATTGTAAGCGAATTGCAAATAAAGTGTTCAGGAAACACAACAAAAGCTCACACAGATCGTGCTCAGACATTCTGTCTGCCTTATGAATCACTAAGGGGGATTGGATGGGATTGCGGCTACGCTGAGAGCCAAAACCAAACTGCGGGACGGGCCAACCCAAGTAACCGGTTAAGGAGCGCACGCGTACGCGTCATAAAAACATGACGACGCTGCTGATGCTGATGCTGACGAAGACGAAGACGAAATCGAAGTTGCTTACATTGGGCTGGGTATCTCCCAAACCGCAAGTAAACAAGAAATTCAAGTTCAATTTGCCAGGAATCGAAGCATTGCTACCCTATAAAAATGATATTAAAGGAGGGAAGTACAGATTAGTGGGGAATATATTTGGAATAAAAATAAAATAATAA